TTGTACCTGTTAAACAGAAGGAAGAGCAAAATCTTTCGAGTCCTCTACATTTCTCTCCCTACTGCCATGGCCAGCCGCTTCATCATCCGACTTTAGTCTAATTTTCCTCCATCACAACCCAATACTTTCCTCTTCCCTCTTTCCTCCTGATGAAAACGTAACTGAATACTGCCACGAAAGAAGAGGGTATTACTATACACCTTGCAATTAGATAGCTATAGTATCTAGTTTGTCTTTAAATTTTATTACTTAATTTTTGTAGTTGTTGGATTAGATTCTTTGAGTTATAAAACACTCTTACATAAAATTTATACATAAGTAAAAGTATTTTTTATACTCTATATTTATACATTTTGAGTTATAAAAAAAAATACTTTGCAATTCAAAAAAGGTATATGTAGCTAAGATAATACAGGCCTCCACTGCTGCAACAAGCAAGAGGTGAATAGAGGCCTCTGGTCTCCGGAAGCAGATGAAATGCTAATCAGATACATCAATCCACGTACCAAGGTAGCTGAAGTATATATGTTTTGCCTCCAACAAACCTGAACACTTTAACCACTTTCCTTTTTTTTTTTTTTTCCTCAGATTTTCGTCTGCAAATCATCACTACAAATCTATAATAATGCCTTTCTCTGTTTCATCTTTTTCTAGTAATTATCATACACTAAACTTCTTAAAAATTTCATCCCTCTCTGGATTGTTGAAGAAAAGAGGGAAACAGAGAGAAAGGAAAAAAGAAAGAAGAAATAATGAAACAAGATTTAAAAGTCAAAAAAGAAATATGATTAAAAAATATAATATTAATAATTAAGGTGTAATAATAATATTATTTTAAAGAGTAAAATCTAAATTTCAACCAAATAAATAAGAGGTTGTTTAACTTTTATTTAAATGGACAATTTAAAAATATGATAAATATATATTTTTAATTAATTTATATAAAATATAATAAAAATTAATTTTTATTTTAATATTCCTATCATATGAATAATTTTAATTTATCAATTAATTAAATTAGAATTAATATTTATATTCTCTATATAAATTAATTACAAAAATATTAAATAAATATGCTTAAACTATATATAAGACGCATATAGAAAAATTAAAAAATAAAAATTCATCTCATGTGTTCTCTTATGGTATAAGTTAAGGGTTTAATTAATATATTTTTTTGATATTAATTAATATAAAAAATAATAAAAATTGATA